GGACACGCGAAATTTCTTAAATTTTGAAAGGAGTTCGTCCAGTTTTAAGGACTCTTATATATCAAATATCCAAAAACGAATAACCAAAAACAAGGCAAAACAAAAATTTTTGCAGAGCTTTTTTTATATATATAAGGGAAAATTATTAAGGATTTTGTGTACAAATTATTTAATTTTGTATTTTTATACAAGTATTCATTAATATTTTTATTTAATAGTTACACATATATAAATATTCTTTTTTAACGCACCCAGCGTAAATGCAATTATAGTGCTTGAAAGAATCAGTTTTAATACCAGCGATTAACGCATTGGGTATTTTAATACAATCTTTATTAAAGTATTTTATATAAATTTATTTAAATCAAATAAAAGAGTAAATAATAATGTTAGAGTTGATTACGAAATACCTCCAGTAATTTGTTTGTAGATGGTGTTGTTCCTATCAGCACCAATAGTAGAGAAGTTGTTATTGAGATTGATTTTGTTGATTGTTGTCGCGTTGACTTTGTATTCTAAATGCCTCGAAAAATCTGGAGACGCTCGGGCTTAGGACTGAATTATCCTGACTTCCTTCAGGACCGTAGATGCTGTCTAGGTATCTTCTCGCCTTTATGCTTGCAGCTCTTTTCTGCAATATTCTGAGGACTGCTTTGTGCTCGTCAGTAAGGTTGTCATCCATTTGGTGGTTCAAAAGTTTTTGTTTTTATTCAGCACAATTTCATTCAAGAGCAATTTAGCAATTTTTTTAGAAAAATTTTATTAGAATTGTTTTTGCTCAGTTTTTAATATATATTTTGTCATCAATTATTTTCACTAATTTTTTATTTTTTTCGTATGCGATTTTCTGTACGCACTTTAAAAGTTTTTAAAGATAAAAGATGTATCTTTTTATTTTATATTTTAAAATATAAATTATACATGCAATATTTTAGTTTGTGTTTTTGTGCACTGAATAATTTTTATTTATCTTATTAGTGTTAGTTATTAAAAATTTTTTTTAAAAAAATTTCACTCGCGAAATCTCGTTTTATATTATTTGAGATTTTAAATTTTTATGTCACTTTTCTCCCCTTTTTTTGGGATACTTGATTGTTAAAATTCGCTGCAAACACCTTTGTTCTCGGGTGTTATGTATTGCAGGGATTTTAATTTTTTTACTCACGTCGCGTACTCTGTTTTTAATAAATTTTCCACATTAGCGTGAGTTCACTGTGGTTGACACTCGCGTCGCATACTTTTTATTTTTTGCAATAGTTACGAGTGCGTTCACTGTGATTAAAACTCGCGTCGCATACTTTTGTTTGCGTTTAGCGTGAGTTTACTGTGACATTCGCGTCGCATACTTTTTATGTTGTGCAATTGTGACGAGTTCACTGCGGTTGACACTCGCGTCGCGTACTTTTTATTTTTCCGCAATTGTTACGAGTGCCCCACGTTGTTGGGCGCCAATTAAATTTATTCGTCACGAGTTTTAATTTTTAAAAAAAATATTTTTATTTATTATATTAAAGATATATATATATATTACAAGTTATATTTTTCCGAATAGGTAAGGTTTAAATGGTGAATTCTCGAATGCTTGAACTAGACTTTAGGCTAGCTCACTCTAGACTGACTCTTGAGGTTTTATTCTTCAATAACTGAAGTTATTGTTTTGATTACGAAATTGGGTTTTATCCAATTAGAACACAGCTTCTAAAATTCCTGAGAATTTTCTAGAAGCGTCTTTTCCTCCAACCAATAGAATTGGAGCTTCTATTTGCTAAAGCACCTCGTCAGCGTCTTTAGCTTCGGCGTCAGTAGCCGGAAGATGATGTTTATATCCATCAATCAAATATCTCAAAAGTGTTACAGTTTTAAAGAAAACAATTTTGTTTTCCTTTGCAGCATTGGTGTCAAATGAAATGTGAGCATTGACCCAGATTCAGATTGTTTATATAAACATATTTTAATGCGTAATATCTAAGTACGCATTCTGAAGATACAAAAGTATCAAACAGTGGCTCAGTGCCGTTATATTAATTTAGGGTTTTAACTTGCACTTCGTGATAGGCGTGAATAGGGGCGAGAAAAACTTTTCGCTATTCATTTATATAAAGTTGTGGTTAAAGTTATAGTTTTTTATTCTGAAATCTTGTGAATGAAGGGTCGACTGATTGTAAGTTCAATAAAGAATATATACAGGGTTTATATTTTCATTGAATGCCAATCACAGCTCTTTAATTGTTTATTACTACATCAATAGTGCAATTCTACTCGTTTACATTTAAATTATCTGATTTCATGGTTATAGAAACATTGAAAGGAATGAATGGGCGACTCTAGTATTTCTATGGATGCCTCTCTAGGCATTCCGGTTTATATTTAGCTGTGCACTTACTTTTTCCACATAACTAATAATGAGTGAACGTTACTTATATTTTTGGTAATATTTTGAACCATTAGGCCTTCATATAATAATATCAGGTTTTGCTGACCACATTAAAAGGAACTATGTTATTATTGTAAAAATAACTGCAATTCTCATTGACCATAGGTGTATAGCAACATACACAGAAAAACTGCACATTATTATCAACACTTATTGTAAAATCTGCGGAAACTTCGTTAAAAAAACAGTCATACGTTTTTTCTGTGATTACCCAACGTGATTAACAGAAGGAATAGGTTTTTAGGAAAAGCACTTTATTGATAGTTTACCCAAATGTACACCGACAAGGATAAAAAATCTGGTACAGTACTTTAATTTAACAGAATAGATTTATTTTATTTTCGGTGATTTTTGCGACGTATGTGATATTAAAATGGTGAATAATTGCTAAAAATGAAAGGTGGATGTGTATTTATTAAATTAGTTTGATCTTAACAGGGTTCATATGTATATGCTTTATTAAAACGGAGCCAAAACGGCTACTTCAAGAACATGGCGAAGGACAATTGATTCCGAATTAACATCAGCGCGCTACTCATGGAACGACATCCGCACGGCTGCTCCAAATAGAATACGGTTCAGAGGAATTGTTGAGGCCCTATGCTCCACTGGGAGTTAACGGAGCAAAGAAGAAGAAGAAGAAAACGGCAAATAGTTCTAATTGTGAGGAACAGAGTAGTATCTAGTGATTAGTCACTACATCTAAACATACAGCGATAAGCAATCATTTTAAATATCAGGGTTGTAGCATTGACAGACGGGAGCTAAATTATCATTAAGGGACTAAATTATAATTTATTTGCTCATTTAGCAGTTTTAAATGATCATTTATGGTCTTTAAATGACCGAATTTAACGTAATTTATTCGTCATTTAGGTTTTTAGAAATGGTAATGCTGCATATGCAAGTGAAACGAAATAAAAAATGGAACAAATTTCAAGCTATTTGGTTGTCAAAATGTAAACAAAACATATTTGGAAACATTGGTAAAAGTAAGTACTCGTATATTTTTATATATTTTATATTTTTTTTATATTTTTTTTATATTTTTTTTATATTTTTTTTGATTTTAGATGACTCAAATTATAAACTCAAGCGCCACGCATGGACGGAGGAGAATGAGATTTTCCGTACAGTAACTTCTTAATGATAATTTATACCGTTTCATCAGTTTGATAAAATGAAGTTATAAAATAATCGATTCAATACTTTGTAATTATTACTTAAATAAAAAATTTAAGGTTCCTTATATTCTTAGTGCTGTTTTATTTTTTCACAAACAAAAGTTTATGAAAATTTATACTATATTAAATAGTAAAGAGTACAGAACATTTTAAATTACTATTTTAAAATATTCTATTATTAACGATGGCAATCCATATAATCAGCTATAGTTACGTTAAGTGTAGTGATATTATCGTTAAAATTGCTTACGGCATGCTCACTGTTTAATTAATTAATAATCAATAATTCTATAATAAATTTAAAAGTAATTCAAAAAGTTGTCCCGTACAGAAATGTTCAAATAAAATGTATTGAAAAAAATAATCAATTATAATTAATAACGGAGGGTACGTCGTTGGAAATTATAATGATAATATAGCATAATATAATATCAGTACCTTTAACGTAACTATAGAGTACTGTCGATATATCGGTAATAATAAAGTATTTTTAAAACTAACTACGAAGCTAAAATATAAAAATATATAGATATAAAATATGGTTATTAAAATAATAAATTTCTCATATTGCATATAATCACATTTGATAATTTTTTTTAGTTAAGAAAATTATTTTTTTTTACGATTATTAAAATTTAAAGAGTCGGTATATTCCCCAAACATACTAAAGTGATAAAAATTTTATAATGACATTTTTTACTATTATTGAATAAAAAGCGTTTTATGTAGATGACTTCACGGTCGTAAAAAAGGTATTTAAGTTTATTAGTTTGTATAATCGCTAAACACAACCAATAATAGTGAAGGGACTCTTAGGAAGAAGGATTATTGAAGCAAGGATTACAGCCAGTGCATATAAAACGCACTCAAAAACATATAAATTCTATTTCATGGGAAAATAAATTGTAAAATGAGAGGCAAACGCAAAAACGTAATAAAAATGCAATTTAAGAATGAAAAATTCATTCACACTTAAACTCATAAATGGTAAGGTAAGATGTGTGCAATGGCGTCAGTAAAAGATAAAAACTAAATTGAGCCAATGTTATACAACAGAAAAATGTCAACTTGAGCAAAAAGTGGAAAATGTGGAAAAATAATTATTTTCCATAGAATTAAAAACTTAAACTACACACACACGTAAAAAATTTATACATAAAGGATAGCATATAAAGGATGTACAATGGCGTCCGATTTACGCATACACTAATATATAAACAAGGACCAGCATTCAGGTAAGTCACACAATTCATCTTTAATTAAGCTTCACATGAAAATTGGTTTTATGCACAATATTTTTCTTTCAGAAAAAGGCAAAATGGAGAAAAAGTCGGAGGAAATAACCAAACTAAAATAAATGGCAACTGAAAAAAGTCACTTACTGTACATCACCACGTCCATGTTTACGTTTTGCGAGCATAACAGCTTTATTCAGTAAATCCATTTCGATAATTGATGGCTTCACACGACAAGCTTCACCATCCACTTGCATTGGTATCGTTTTCTTGGTAACAATACGCGCCGTCTTGCATTGGCATATGCAGGTGCCATGCAGACCGGCTTGCAACATTGGTAATTGATATGTCGTAAGGCCAACAACCTCAACAAGTCCATCATCAATAGCTGGTTTCGATTGACCATAGGAATCGTTCCATGGATGAGTGCCACCGCCATAGCTATTTTCGTACAGAAAACAAAGAAGCAAAATTTATTATTTTCAGTTTTCAATTGAAAATCAAAAACAAAGTTAAAAACCTTTATTATTTATAAAGTTTTTAATTAATTAACTTTATTTACCTTGGGATATTTAAAAACAATACAGCATGGCAGCCAGCATCTCGAAGTTTGGCTGTATAGTCGGTGCCATCACACTCCAGTGTTACCCATTGCGAAAGATTGCGATATTGACGCAATATCAAATCTTTGCCACCCATCTGACCGTAATACATTTTATTACGTAAACGAGAATTAAAACGTTCCGGATGCGCTTCACGAGCTTCATGAAACTCCAATGCAATATGTGCATCCACACCGAAACTAAAGTAATTGTTCATCACATTTAAGGGGACATTATCTTTACTTCGACTAACGTGATCACTATCAACATCGGTATTTGGCGTTACCCTTAGACGCCAACGATCCATTAGTACAGTTTGAGACATACCGATTTCACGTAATATTTTGCCGACTGGTTCATCAGTATAACCCTGGAAAATATACGCGATAAGAAGAGTAGGTAAATCTCACATAAAAGTTAAAATCATGTTAAGGAATAGTAATGTGAACTTTTATCAACTTACACCACCCCATCCTAAGGCGCGTGCGAGATCATTGCCTGTACCCAAAGGCAGTACACCAACTGCGGGTGCTGGTGCGATTGGTGGAGTCAGCATATCCAATACTGATAATACCCAACCTACAGTACCATCGCCACCACAAGCGAGAATACGTAAATTCGGTGCTTTGCGAAACATGTCCAAACTGTAAACAAAGAAAACGTAAAGAAAATATGAAGTAAAGTAAAATACGAAAAATAAATAAACTTAAAAATATAAAAATAATAAAAGTAATATTAATCTTGCCAGCACTCACCCCATCTTAGGACCACCTTGTGTTAAATCAAACACTTGTCGTGGATTCAGTAGCTGCTGGAATTTTCCCAACAGCTTGACACCCTGATTACCGCCAGATTTCGGATTAATAAATACTATGACCGGTATAACTTCTGGCGATGGAATTGGTTTCACTATAAATGCACGTGGCTCCTTCTTTTCTTCCTTCTTATTACGTTTCGTTGTTTGTCTTTTCTTATTTGCCGCATTATTGGCGGCGTTTTTATTGTTGACGCGTATGGAAGATTTAAAATTTCCTTTATTCGGTAGCTTAACAATCCAGGAGGGCGGCACAATGATTGGTGCGTAATTGCCTATTAAAAAAAAAATAACAATAAGAAGAAAATTAAGTGGAAAATCAGCAGAAGAAAAAGAAAGAAGAAGAAATTCATTTTAATTTAAAATAAGTAAATTAAGCTGTGATAGCTTGAAATAATTTTTTAAGTTTGTTCAACAGGCCGTATGATTAATGTTCTTTGAACGCGATACATATTTTTTGCACTTATTTTTTGATGTCATAAAATAAATGATTTGAAAATAAAGACAAAAAAAATGTACATTTTTTGATAATTTATTAGATATATTCTGTGATGTAGTCGTTCATTGTATTTCTTTTTAAGATAAAATTGCTTGAAATTTTAGATAAATTTTATTTTCTATCGAAGCTTGTACTGATTCAAATTGTATCTTAGGAACTATTATTTATTATGTTTATTTTTAAAACATAATGAATTTCAAAAAGAAAATTTAAAATAAAAGCCTAATATCCTAAATCCATAATTTAATTACTAAAATCTGACATCAAAGTAAGCACTTTCTTATTGCTTGTATCTATCTTTTGATACTTACATATAACAATTATCAATTTATTGTAGTAATCACCCCAGACCTCTTTAAAATGGTACTCATGTCGATATAAGTTAAAGTTTTTATGTTTCGTAAATCCTAAACTTTTTATTCTAATAAATAATCATTTAACGAACTTCGACAAATTTCACAAAATAGAGATAGTTAATTTCCAACTAATAATAATAATTTGTTGTATCCTTAAGCTCCTAATAGAATATGGAATAAAATAATAAATAAATAAGTAGGAACAAATATTCATCATAAGTTACGTTCAACGTATGTTCTAGAAAGGTATTATTACAGCAAAGGCAGTACCTTTGGTATAGCTATAGGTCTATTTATTACAAAAATCTATATGCTTTAAGGGTATGAACATCATCGGATTTCTTTTTCTGTGCTTTCAGTTGCATATAGTCATAATAAGTAAACAGTTACTTTTTGATCTATATTTCAACATACATTAAGTTTACTCTTTGACTTATCGAAACTCTTCAATAAGGTTTTTCATTTTTCGATTTCAGTAACGCTTTTTTACAGTCCAAATATTTATGACTTTGTTTGGAATATTTGAGAAGAAATGATCTCAAACTTAGAAATCAAATATCATGAGCGCAGTTTGACTATACCATTATCTTATTTTTAAACGGTTACGATAGTTACGGGTATCTTACGATGATTTCACTGTAATTACATGATTTCACTGTAATTAATTAGATTGTTACAAGATTAACTTGATGATTAGTAGAAATTATAACTCTGAAGGAAAATATAATTAATGTGTGCGCTGAAATTAACCTAACGAAACTGTTGCGGTTCAGTTTTCTACAGTCGACTTTGTACAGGATCATTTCTCCAACGTATATAAATTTTATTTGGTGTATTACTTTTTACAATAATTTAGTATCAATATATTTTAATATTGTATGTTATCACAAATCTCACACTTCTATGATTTTAATCATTTCGATTTGCATTTATATTTGAGATCCTTTTTTTAAAAATAAAAACAAAACTCAAATATTTATTTGATTTATGGTTAAACAGAAGCCACAGGCATTTCACTTGACACTTTTATGAAGTAATTTCATTTCGTTATTACGAAATTGGAATTTTCGAAGGTGCTTCACAAGCACAACCACTCCAGTGCTCAATAAAAGCAAATAAATGTTGTTCGGGGAAATGTGTATGAGTTTCCGAGTATAAACGCTAAGATAGACATACAGCATTTGACCACTTACAATGGTGCCATAGACGTTAATCCCAGTTCAACATTCAATTCAAAACAACAACGACCACAGAAAATGGTGGGATTTGCATTTTGGTTCATTGCTGATGGACGCACGCACTCAACGTAGCTCAACTGCCGATTGCATACTTCACTTATGCGTATTGTCAACAAATTTACAATAACGATGCGGAATTGGAAAACGCATCAATACCCACAAAATTCGGAGCTTCGATGGAACTACCAGTAGGAACAGTAGTGCTATAGCATTCGTAAAAATAGAAATGACAGAAGTGTTATAGCTCTGGTAGCTGCAAGTGATAGAAAACTTAAATAATAGTGTAAAAACTGATATAGTGTGGGTGGCGCCGGATGCCGGTGTACTTCGAATTTAACGTAATTTCAAAAATGTGCATTGGCATCCGAATTTGACACTTGTGCTGTGGAGAACACAACATCTTGCCGTTGAGTGTTTATTGTAGGTATGAGTATAAAAATAGCTTTTCAACGTATATGGTCACATTGAAAGGTCATCAAAGGCCCAATGGTAGCGGTACTAGTGAAAATGTGTTGGTTTACGACGTTGTAACGTTAACAATGTAAAATTGTTTAAATGGCAGCAGCATAAATGTTGCTGATATTTTTTGTACTATTTTTATTGAATTTTTCAATGAAAATTTTTGTTATGGTTTTTAGGTTTGGTTTACAGATTCTGGCAACAAACGGTGGTTTTCGAATTCTATCAACCATTGCACCAGCACACTTTCGCTATAGACTTGAGGACAATTGCATGCATACCATACCCATGGGTGAGGTGAATGTGTTTGTGTTTGCATTTAAAACCAATTTGCAAGCTTGTTTATCTTTACCTAAATGTGTTTCCCGACAACGGAATTTCCATACGAATTTAGGTGCTATGCACTGGTAAATGTTACTGTAAATAGCCTGGCTAATTTTATAAAATTACCAATGATACAAATTTTTTGATAAACCACACTATAATTGAATTCTCTGTTTACCGTATACACTTGAAACGATTTGTGAGAGATTGTGAGTTTTAAATTTCATTCAGATTTTTAATGTTGATCCTTTGGCTCATAGGATGTGAGTACTAATATACTATAGTATTTATACTTACTTACTTACTGCTGTCCTTCTCTCCTAAGTGAAGCATAGGGCCTCAGTATATATAAAGTTTATAAAATATTATGGACGTTAGATGTTGAAGTGGTTTTGTGATTCGAATCATTAATTAAGAACTGATAATTTTATATACAACTTAAAGGTAATATGTACTTATATGGCAAACACAATATTCCGCCTATATTTCGGTTACGGTAACAATTAAATGAGCTAAATGAACAAGAACAAGAAATATAGAATATATTAAAAAAATTAAACAAACGTTTAATTAAAAAAAAACTGGTAGTTAAAGAACAAGTTTAAAGCAATGAGCACCAAAACCCAATACGGTGTATAGAGTCAATAGTTTTTATTATGATTACCTGTGTTAAGCTTTCATAACACACGTAAACGGTACTGCGCCAATAAACTCCACTATTGAAGTTCCATAAACTACTGATAGTATCAATTGTAAATATACGTTTGTATGTAGTTTTTTTCCTTAGAAGGGAGCAATGCCTATCTAACACCATTGCTGTTTTTTGGCTCATAGCATCAGCTTAGAAAATGCAACTCCAAATCGAATGAAAGCAAATGTATACAGTCATTCTATTTGCTTAACTTAGATCTTAACAACAGTCATCACTATACTCTTATTAAAGAAACCAACCTATTTTCGTCAGAACAATCGGAGCTGTAGGCGTTGCTTCTTGAGATACCATATATACACTTCCGGTCCAATGCCGTAAGTGAAGTTGTCTTACAACCATTAATAACAATCACTTATTAATTAAATCAACCATTTAAATTTATTTAGCGTGTAGACTGACTAGAATTTGGAACTTTTTTTCATTCATTCTTATTTTTTCACCAACAGATACAAATTCTTTACTACAGATACAAATTAAAAATAATATGTAACTGCATTAATGGTTCATAAAAATCTTTCCTGGGCCAGTATAAAAGCCCAATTATCGATGTAAATTAGCAAGTCATGACATAAACATAAGGGTTATTTACAATTTCTAAAACATTTGGATAAGAGCTATTTCTCACATATGTCAACTGAGAGATTAATAGTTAATTTTTCTAATTTCAATTTCTTGAAAATGTTGTATAGAACAATTCTCTGTAATAAGCCCAAAAATATTGAATTATTACGGACAGATATTTGTAAATCATACAAAACCATCATTAAAAAGAGTTTCACGAAGCAGTGTTATTTAAAATCAAATGTATAAAATTTTTTTTTCTAAATTATATTAAAAAATTAGGTTACAATGTACTCGTATTCGTTTATATGACCGCCCCCTGCTATTTTCATCGTTAATTTAATTATGTATATAATTTCAATAATTTGTAAATTAAGTATTTTAAAAATATTTTCATTAAAAAAATAAAAACACTCAATTATGCGTTGGAGATAATGCTATATATTATCATCATGCATAATATTGTGAAAGATAGTTTTAAACTTCGCTCAAGTAGTTACATGAGTTCAAATGGGTTAGGCGAAACATGAGTATCCGACTCTTCAAATTCTGCATATCCAGAACTTGTGTCCATTGCATCATCATTATAAGATGCCCAACATGGATTTGGCGTTAAATATGTTTCTCCAGTTTCCTCAATGCCATCCATACCTGCAGGAACAAAATCAGCTGCTTGAGTCGCACTGTTGGACCAACACACATCCTCAGCTTCAGTTGATTGCATCGATCGATTTCCTTTTATTAATGTCACATAAATATGACGATGTTTCACAGTTGATCCATAAGAGTTTGGTACTATGTTATCAGATAAACAACTGTACTTGCGTTTAGTGGCAGTTCTCTTCAAGTTCGTCTGAGGATATTGTGCGCAAAGATGTTTGTTGAACTCATCATTGCTATCAATTTCAACTTCTGCTAAAGTACGCTTTACTCCATACATTTTGAATTGATTACAAAAAAAAAATCTTTATAAAAATAGTCTAATATTTTAATCAAAATAAAATTTTTATATTGTATACTTAGAATTTTGAAGTACAGAAATTTTCAAAAGTTCACTACTCAAAAAATTTTTTTTTATTTAAAATACATTTAACTATTTAATAAATGTGTCTATGTTAACTACGATAATTTTTTTGTATGGAGAAATATATTTTCTATTCATATATGTCGGAGACTATACATATTGGATATGTTCACTTGATATCAAATATAAATATTTGAGGCATTTGCGGCTTACTTTATAATTTATATGAACTAAATTAAGCGTGTTCGGCCGCTCCTAAGTGCGGCAAAATACAACAAGTCTCTTGCTAAAATCTCTAATTAATATGCAAAACAATAATACTATTTTTTCATAACAGTGTGTTCTTATGAAAGTTTTTTTTTATAATAAAAATAAAATAACTCGCATGTTACGTTCGACTTTAATATATTTAAGCTTAGGTACAAAATTTTATAATTTTTTTATTATATTTTCTTGTAAAATATATCGTTTACTTACCTAGACGACATTCTTCACCAATTTTTGCTGGATTAAAACAGGATTCCTTATTATGATACACCTCATGACACCAGGCGCAGGATAATGCAACAATTTCCTTAGAACCAAATAGTTTACCTTGCACAGCCTGTAAAATAAATTGAAATTTGTAATTTATTACTATAAACAAAAAGGATATTAAGTTGAAATATTGTATTTTTAACCAGGGACCGTAACAGTTAGCATTAAAAAAACAAAAATCTACCCATAACTTATCATTTGTATTTTAAAATAAAATTCAAAGAATTTTAATTAAAAATTTGCTTTATATTATATTTTCCAAAAATAATTATTATCATGTGCGTTTTATTTTTCCACGCACAAATATGTTAACTCTGACACTCTGCTTTTTATTTTGAAACACACAAATAACTGTTATGTTTGCCTTAAAAAAATAAAAATCAGAAATGGCTTTTATTTTTGAAAACAATATATAACTTATAAAGAGTGCCTGATAATTTTAAAAATAAAAATAAAACGCGTTATGCATGTAAAATAGTTAATTGTTTTTTTAACTTCATCCAAGCTATTTGTGTTTGGAAACACAAAAGGCACATGATAATTATTTTCGAAAATATGAAATAACCCAAATGAGTATATTTTTACTTTTATTTTAAAACACTCATATATATAAAACATGCATATATTATAGATGCAAATTGTTAGAATGATAACTATATACTTAAATATGAGATTATACAACTTTTGGTTACTGCTTTTTTTCTTAAAAAATTTTGAGATAACTGTTTTTCCATCCATTATTATTCCATTATTTTCCATCCCTGTTTTTAACTCTTTTTACTGATCTGTTTGTACTACATATGAGGGTCGATCGACAATTCTAATAAAAATTGCAATTTATATTGTTACTGAAATTCTGCTCTTTAGTTTATTTAAATTTTTTCTTTAAAAATTGTAAAGTTTAGTTTTGTTTTGTTTAGAGAATTTTAAACAATTTTAATTCAAGTTTAAATAAAAAATGAAAACAAAAACCTAGAAACTTGATTGAAGCATAAAAATTAACATGGAATATCCAGTTGTATTGTGGATAAATAAAGCTTCCTGGCCAAATGTTTTTGCAAAGCACACGAGAGAGATTTAATTTATTTTTTTTTTGTTTTTGGTTGTTTTTTTCGGTGTTTTTTTTTTTCACTGACAATTTGTTGCAACAAAATGTATATTCACACTTCACAACCTCCTTCTGTCTACATACAGAAAAAAAAGGGAAACACATGTTTGCTTAACAAATAAAACAGTTGGCAATGCACAATAAAAAAGGAAAATTGTTAATTTAATGCAACAAATAAAAACAATGCAGGGTACAGCAACAAACATAAATTATTTGGTTCCAAAGGATTTTTACATAAAAAACAGGGTGAAAATTGTGTTGCAAATAGAATACAAAATGAAATATTTCAGATACAATGAAAGTAATAAATAAAATGTATGAACGAATAGAGAAGCAGACACCAAAGGTGTGTAAAAAGCGATCCGAATATAACGCTGTATCACAAATAGCCCAAGGATTCAATGGAATCCATGTGGCAGAAATAACAAGCCAAGAACAATCCGTAATGAAATGAGAAGTCACTGCTTGCAAACAATTTAAAAGTAAAAACAAATATCCATATTGTGTAAAGTTATTTGTTTAAAATGAAAATAAAAATAATGTTTAGAAAAAACTTGTTAACAATACAAGTAAGGTTGTCTTCGCTTGAGTTAAACAACACTTCAACAAGGATTATCCAAACATAAATAAAAGCGGAAGCAACAGCAGCAAAGGCAGCATCATGTAAAACCCAAAACAGTACTGTGAAGTGTGCAAAGTGCACCAAATGTGCTGGTTATGCTGCCAGGATTGCACATAGCATGCCAACACGCAGTACCGCAAAATAATAGCATCAGCACCGGCACCGGCACCAGCACCAGCACCAGCACCAGCATCAGCAGCAGCAGCAGCACCAAAAGTACTACGATCAGCAGCTCAACCCCAGCTATCAGCATCAATTTAGTTTGTTTCTTCATGCATTTTATTCTATTAGAATCTTACTTTTGCGTGGTTGATTGTGCTTTTGGTAGATTTGGTGTGCATTTCTTGTCCTACTGCGCTGCATCCATGTACGAAAGTTTCTCCATCTTCTTTTAAATTAATTCATTTTGAGATTATTTTCATTGTGTTGCGGCTTTACTCGTAAATGCAACTAAGACAGTTTCTATGCGCTTATGAACTTTGCATCTGAAATGCTTCTCTGCATGCCAAAGAATATTCCTTCCTTCTGTTGACTTCAACAGAATACGAGCAAACTTGATGCATTTTCTTTACATTTTTGACAAGGATAAAAATTCTTATGCTTGTTCTTTGCGTGCTGATTAGCAAAAACTTCTCTATATAAATATATGTGCTTGGAAAACTTAAAATTTATATTTCCAACATTGCATTGCTGAAATTTGTTTTAACTTTTTATTTATTTGTTTATTTTTTTCTTGTAGATAAGAAATGAAACATTGTAGTACTTCAATTAGTTTTGAGGTTGGTTGTCTAATTTAATGCTTGAAATATTTTTACGTTCTTCTTTTTGAATCAAAACTAAAGATTAAAGGTTAGTAAAGGCAAATATAGATAGTACCTAAGCAAATTAAAGCATAGAAAAAAGGAGATAAAAAAATAAATAATTATAACCACGTGATACTTAAACAAAAGGGAAAAACTAAATTTTATTTAAATTGTATATTTACATCAGTCTTAAAGTATTATATAAATTATATGAAATCTTCTATATTATTATGTATGATCAAACTATTTACATACTTCCGGTCTAAAAAGTTCAAAACGAGATTTTTAAACAAACTTATGCACCACAAATAGCTGTGATGTGGCTCTATGAATTTTTAATTTAGTTGATTATAAAATTCTTCAAATTGGTTGAAACAGTAATATTGTAATATTATCTTACATTGTCAAGTCATATTGTTCTGATTTTACTAATAGAAAGCAGTGATAAATAATAGATAATAATAGATAGTTTATTTACACAACTTAAAAAAATTGGAAACGAAATAAATTCACATTTTAATAGAAATTCTTAAAAAACAGATCCAAGGACGTGGCACTGTAAGATTGTGCAAGACAAGGCATATCTATTGTAAAAGATGACTAAAATTCAGTAGGACCACCCGTTACTATTAGGAGTACAACTAGTAGTGAATTAGTTTCAATATCGGCATCCGACCGGAGGTGTAAGTGTACTACTATGGGGGATCAGGTCAGGGCCCACAGTTTCGGTTGTCCTAACTAATAGACGTTAGCCGTTATAATGAAAGTATCGTGTTGGCTATGATTAAAAATCAAAGTTACGCCTGTAAACTGACTATTTATTTACTTTTATTTGATGTGGAGTTAGATTTATCAACCGGATGCTGTGATTCAAAGAACAGCAGAGGTGCTAGATAGGCCTCGTACCTTGTCAAATATGTATCCAAATCTATAATTTTATTTGATACTGATGGAATTTTCTGGAATTAATCCTTTACGTTAGATAGACATGTTAAAAAACCTGTGGAATCTGTAAGATTGTGCTGAAAGCTGAAATTATAGAGTGTGAAAGACAAAGAGATCAAATTGACAATATGGATAATCGTGTCATTAGCTACCGTTTTTATATAAATAAGCTGAATTGCAAAGAAATGTTAATTCGAATGGTAACAAAACTGCAGATCAGATAATTGGGCAAAGGGTTGACTAGCTAATCAACCGGGAAGGTACTGCCTGTTGGTATGCTATGTGTAATTCTGGCAGTATATAATTCAAGTTTATAATAAAAATAAAATTTCAAGTTTAAATTTTATCGTTACTAGGAAATTATACGAAAATACAGTTATGAATAAAAAAACGTCATAAAATGGAGTTTTCTGTATTCTAATTAGTTTACAATAAAATTTTATTGCTTTACAAAAATTTTCTATTTTTTCTTATAGGTTCATTATATTGTCTTCATAAAAATTCGCCAGATGGCACCTCGTTAATTTATGTCTTTTTTTAATATAAATTTGTCGTTAAAGAAAACTGAAAGTATTTGCTGTTTCTTAATAAAATTTTTAATTAATTTTATTATTCACTTATGTCGTCTAAACTTTCAATTCACAAATGAACGCGGGATAGTGTTCAATTTCATTAAAACAATTTCCGTTATCAGCTAATTGATATGATATAAGCTTTTAATTAAATTAATGTGTTCACGTAAGCATATCAGTATTAATGGATTTGATAATACTGTATAATAAACAACTGAATGAAAAAATTAGAATTAAAAAAAAAAAAGAACAGTTGGCCCATGGGGGGATCGAACCCGCGGCCTTCGCGTTATTAGCACGACGCTCTAACCAACTGAGCTAATGGGCCGGTTATTTACTCAGTGTTGAAATACCTCAACAAATGAAAACATATACAAACTATCCACTTGCATAGATCTAATATTATTTATTTAGTGTCTATCTTTTTATAGTGGTCAGTCTAAATTTAATTCAGTCAAAATTAGAATAAATTGTGCATTGGCTAAAAATACAGCCAATACCCAAGCGTATTGCGTGTCTCACTCGTTAATGATTAAGTTCAACAATTTATAAAACATTGCCTTCGTGTTGACGATATTGCAATATATTATTTTATGTAAATTGATTTAAGCAAAAAAGATATAAATAACATATATCACCAGAGTATTATGCAGATGGAATCATTAGACACTGTTAAAGTAGATACATTGTACCTATCTATAATGCTTTTGCTTACCTTTCCACAATGTTTACATTTTCCCTTTTCCATTTTTCGATGCACCCAGTGATGATGAGTTGTCGTTTGCTCTCTATATTGTCTTATACCTACGTCTCGATATGTTGGCTTACACGCTAATTGAGTCTTTTCATTAACGATTGGAATGCAATTTTGATGCGCTATTAATTGGCATGCGGAGCATTTCATACGTTGTCCACTTTTCTGTAAAGAATAAAAAAAAAATTAATTAAATTAAATAAATAAATTAATTTAAAATAGAAGTGCAAAGTAAACATGTGGCAACTTAAGGGTACGGCACAATATTTTGTCTGATTTAGGTTTGGGTATAATAAAAAAAAAAATAGGTGATCATTTAAAATAAAATTATGGCTTGTCAAACTTACGGCTGTTTACGAATGTTTCTCTGATCTAGGCTCTGATATATTGGAATATAGAGTAAGACAAAATAAACCGTTGAACTCGCAAGGAAAAAATTTGACACATAATAAGAATTTATAAAATATACTATCATACACATGTGGTTAAAAGAGCTATTAATATCAAATATCTTTTATAGCGAATTATAGCTAAAAAATTCTTGAAATATGTAAGATTAGTAGAATACTATTGGTATATAAAATTTTAAGTAAAGGTAATCACTCATAAATAAAAAAAAATATCTCTAGAGCGAGGTTTAGTACTCTATAATACTTTTAGCAAAAATTATTTTTGTGATTCCCTTTGCTATATGGTTTCGCATAGTTTCCTGCGTTGTTGCACTTCGTCTATCCATACATATAAAAATATTCTTATCGATGTCGGAAGTTATCATATGGAATATACAAATTAATGATCATCCATAATCTACTAAAAAACTACAAGTTTCATAACTAATTTATTTGTTATTCACGAAATTATTTTTCTGATTTATACCCGTTTATATCGAGCATGAAAATTCTACTGGGCACAGCTTAATTTCCTAAATCAAAGCGACAAAACTTGTAGCTATTCTAAAAGCCCCAATGACCATTGGGTACACATGATGAAAAAGCACAGAGAAGAAGAGAAATAACACGGATATTTTTTTTTTTTGTAATATCCCAAAATTGACTAGCAAGATTGCAATATTTCATTATAGAAGTCTACGAACTAATTACATTTTACAACCAGGACTATTTTTTACTGCTACACATCTTTGAATAAGATGTCAATTCAGTTTAATATTTCTTTGCTCTGAGTTCCCGGTTATAGAGATATTTTTGACAATAGGCCAGCCAGCCGGTGCGTTTCAGGTAATAAGTCGAAACATCTGAAAGATGTGGGCATATCATTGTCAACTTAATAGTTGAAAATGTTTAGTATAGAGCAATTTAATACTAATAATCAATTTGATGGCGTTCTGTTAAAAGAAATCCAACAATCAAATTGAGATACCCAGTTTTATGATTGATTTGCTAGCAGGTCACAGCCGTTTAGCGAACCGTTGTAGAAGATCAAGTTTCTCGTTTAATCAGTTGCAGTTGCAGTTGTGAAGAGGGCATTGAAAGTGTCGCACATCTGCTTTGTGACTGTCCAAAGCATTTGCGACGGTGATTAACTATTATAGAGACTTATTTTTTTTTTTAAGAATTTTGACTCCAGGACTTTTCTCTAAACAGCATTTTAGGGTTTGCTAAGGGTTTAACGTGGTTTTTAAACCATTTAGTTCTTATATGGCAACAGAATGGCTTAAGTGAATCTTTAGGAAAGCCGGTATAAACTAACCTCACCTATCCAATAATTTAATCATAATTTATCACAAAAACCGGTCATAACAAATACATGTAAAATACAACAATTTTTTATATTCTTTATGTTTACATAAAGGTTTTTTTTTATACTTTAAGCATTTATAACGCTTATTCGATATTACTCTTATTCGATATATCCACACTATAAAATTCTATACCAAATAGCGAAATAGCAATAATAGAACAACAGAATAGCAATTAATAATAGCAAGTAACAGAATCGCTAGGAGCAGAACAGTAATTAACAAAATGTAATCGACGGAAGCCATCAAAATTCTCTCTGCCATTGTATAATCCTTGAACTTACTTCAATTTTTTTAAGATAACAAATTGATAGAGATAGAGATAACTAAATTTTTCGTGAATAGTTAGCAAACAGTAAATTGGGAATTATTTGTAGAAATAAAATTTTAAATAGCTTAAAACTAAGCTAATTAAATTGAAAAAGGCAAAAGTACATACGAGTATAAATTTCATCAGAACTCCTTTTATATATTACATTATGACGCTCTCAGTGTAAAAATAATTGCATTACGTTTCATTACTTGAGGTGTTAAGTATGGAAATTCCTTTTCATTTATGCGCCTTCACCGAGACACCGTCTGTGCAGGCTGTGCAGGAGCACTTCCAGCACAGCTACCATGCACAACGTGTGTTGTTACGAGTTTTTAATTGAAAACTATTAAAATTTAATTAAAATTATAAAAAATTATGCATATGCATTAGGGAGCTGTGAAAATATGGTTAATGGTAAATGGTAAATATTTAAATATCAAAGAAGAAAGTGACTGACGCTATGCTTCAAATTAAATTTAAAATTCTAATGAGCAAATGAATGTGAGGCAGCAAACAGCAAGCCAGGACACCTTCGCCACAGTGCAAAGAAAGGATCCTACGCATATTCTGATTGCTGCATGTATGTAAGAATTGTGCCTGCCTGCCTGACTGACTGTGTGTGCTTTCCTATTTTCCCATTTCTAATTGCACTGCAAATGAATGAATCTGGTGAGTTGGTTCCACATGTGCGATATATTCACGTTCCTATCCAAAACACGAGTTTGACTTGAAGCTAGAATGGCTTAGGGTTTGTTTTTGGTCGTAGTTGTGCGTGCTTTAAGGCAATTTATTAAAATGCAGACGATTGTGAAAACAATTAAGTGAACAAAATGGGCGAAGTTTTTGCATTATAATGCCAACATTTTCGGCAACAATAGTTTTCGGTATGTTTATACGTAAGTATTGCTGAATTTTAAAGGACTCTATTAGGCGTATGTGTGTGGACAGTGTTTAAAGGAGGAATGTGTGTTCATATGCGTGTTAAACACGCAATAAATAAATTATACTTGCATATATTGATATTAACTTTAAGTGTATACAAAAAAGGATATAAGTGAAATTATTTTGAATATTTTGTATATAAAACAATATTAAAATTATTTTTACAACTTAATTTCACAGCATTTTATGCAGAATATAATTTTGTTATTTAGTAAATCATGGGGTTTCTTATACTTCCTTCTTTGACGTGAAAGAAAATTATGTGTTTTAAAAGGTGCCGGAAAAATTTATGGAAAATTGAATATATTAAAAGAGAAATATAGCAATAAAAACAATTGTTATAGTATAAAGGTAGATACCTCCTTGATATACGTGGCGCATGCTTTCCTATGAAACACGGCGGTGTATTATATATATGTACAGTGCGATATAGTGTTGTGTGCAAGTAGTATCTTAAAAAAATTTGACGCCCGTATGCAACTCAACAATCTTGCACACGATTTTCAATATAAATAAGTACATTTAATGAGTGTAAGAATAACAAAAATTGCGGTCCCCCGACAGACTTGCACCCTAGAACAATAGCTTGTAGTACCCTGACAATAGCACGCTGCTCTTTATGTTTAGTTTTGTACTATTCTGAATAAATTTTCATTATTATGCAGCAAAAATTTTGTTTTTTAATACAATAAATCTCAAAATATATTAAAAATTATTTTTTGAAATATTTCGGGTCTCTTTCCTTTTTTTCAAAAAAACTACCAGCCTATGTTAAAAGTTTTGCTTCTTTTTCTTTAAAATTCTTTAAATATAATCAAATTTAGAGTTTCTCAATTACTCAATTACAATACTTTAAATATAGTATTTTCCTCTTAATGAGATTTTTTTTTGGGAAGATATTGGTATCAATTCGTGTAAAATTGAATTCAAGGTGTCTTTACCTTCAATCCGTGACATTTGCATCAATACTCGAAATATGATTTTTACAATATTTGATTTTTTTGAAAGAGATTAGTTCCAGTTCTTGTAAAATAGGTTAAATATTTTACTCGTTGGTATACGTTTCGGGTTGAAAAAAGCTGCTCTAATGTATGCGATGATGCTACTTTTTACATTTGCAGTTCGGTCCCAATCGACTAATACAATAATAATGCTATTTATAGGAAACTTTTCAACGTAATTAAGTTTAATTAACGTTTGCAGTTTTCTCCTTTTAAATTATGTTATGCATTTCAATTTTTTCTAAACACTAATTATCAGTAACTATCAGTAAAACCACTGTGATTTAACATAAACCACAGATTACAACTGTAAACTATAGGATATCACCATTGTTGGTGAAGGTTTTATAACTTTAATGTATTGGTTATAAAAGAGGTCTCCAATTGCAAGGAATATACGAAATGACCTTTTTTACTCGAAAAATTATTTGTGTACTCATTAATATGAGTCTGGCATCATTTTCTTGAGCTTCTAACATACAAATACCTTGTACCATTTACAAACGTTTAAGCATAACTTTTTATTCCGTTTTTAATTATAAAATAGCCATAAAACCATCATCAGCTTTTTAAATTTAAACAAAAATAATATTTTTGTTAAAAAAATAACACAACTAACAGAATATGGCAAATCTATGTCTATTGTATAAACATTACTATATTTTTCGATCCTTAAAATGATATTACTGCTATTGCAGTGATATCAAGATAGAGCGCGGGTATCTTTAAAATCACTGGAAGCGAATAACACTGAAAATGTTGCCCCTACGAAAATAACCATTGGTTCCGTTTCAATTATAATTTCATTGTTGTGTTTCAATTAGTTCAAATTTGTAACATTTTCGAAGTATATAAATTTCTCTTCCAGAAAAATCTGATAAAATAAAAGTTTCTCCGTCTAACCAAATTTATTTAATCTTTGTTAAATTTAATAATTGAGTTACAAGTTAGTAGAAAATGTGTAATAACATATGTAATATGAATAAATATTAAATTCCCAGTAATTCCAAAAATAATTTATTTATTAATAATTTCAAATTGGATATGTAATCAAAATATTTCTAATAACCTTAATTGAAATTTGCAATTATATACTTTCGAATAATAACATTTTAATACAGATTGTCATAAGCAAAAACGGATACAATTTAAATTGAATGACAGCATACAAAAGTCTATTTTTGGTTGCCTTCTTATGACATTTTTGCCACATTATCCTGTCATAACATAATCTTTGACTGTAAAAATATTTCTTATTTATGGTCAAAATGTGTATTTTTGGTTACGAATTCTTTTATTTACTGTATTATAAATAATACTTACAATACACTCCTCATTCAAACAGCACAAATCACCGGAAGCGGAAGTTGGCTTCCAAAAGTGTTCACCTTGTATGGCATTCTCCGTCCAATCAGGCACAATACGTATCGGACGTCTAGCGTTACTCGCCGCTGTCGTACGTCTACAAAAATAAATGAAAAATAAACAAAAAATATTTAGTTTATTTATTTATTTAAGTAATAAATTTAAACATTATTATATATTGTTAAATAATAAATTAAGTAGTTCAATCTGAAAAAATCATTGTTCATAACACTTATAATATGTTTACACTAACTTCGTTAGACCAGTTAATTTACTTGAGATTGCCTAAATTAATTGAATCACAAGTAAGTTAACTGGTCTAACGAAGCCAGTGGTAACGTACTATAAGTGTAATGAGCGATGGGTTAACTTACTTGTAAGTTAACTTATAGTCAACTTACTTGAGATTGCCTAAATTATTTAAATCACAAGTAAGTTAACTGGTCTAACGCAGCCAGTATAAACGTACTTTTACTCGAATTTACTTAAATCTAAGATTTTAAATTTAGTTAGCAGCTTAATAATTTCTTTTGAATTATAAAAAAAAAAAAACGTTAAAATTTTAATAAAGACATAAATCATCATGAAATAATCCTATTCTAACCATAAATGAATTTAAATTTGAATTCCTGGCACGAAATATTTGAAAGCATAAGGAAAGACCATAAAGTATTTTTCTTCTGTGCTTTTTTTGGTACTAAACGGAACGGAAAACGGAAATACTGCACAAATTCATAGGGGAAATTTGTCGAAAATTCATATGTGATTGTGTTAGTTTATGCACGAAAATTTGCGTTTTATTACAAATACAAAAAGTATACACATGCCTGTGTAAGTGTGTGTGTGTGTGTTGATATCCTTTCATGAAATAGTAGCAAATAAATATGAATTTTCCATGGGTGTTGATCCTCAAAACGTTTTGATTTGATTTCAGTACGAATATCTGTATGTGCCGGCTGTCATAAAAACTCGTTACTCTTGAAGCATATGTCATATAAAAATTGATGATATTTCAAAAAAATTTCAAATTGAGTGTATTAAGTTCATGTTATTAAGCGCTTGATATGATATGCGCAATGATACAATTAAAAAAAAATAAATTTCACGACATTGAGTAATAGTCACTATAGTTTAACGACAAGAAAAACTTATCTAAATACAATATAACCAAATACATTTCATTTTTTGTGATTGATGAGGTGGAATGCTTAATGCACCGTCAGACTGATCATCAGCGGACTTCTTCTGTGCAGTATACGAACTAAAACACCCAATATTTTTTTCGACTTTATCCCCGCTTAAACATTACTTCGGAGAAAATCTCTTGTAAGTTGGCTATCCATGCTAAATGCTTCTTGTAAAACCTGCGTTCAGGTCCTTATTCCTGAGCCAAATTGAAAATTCTCCGGAATTAAAGTTTGTGAAAGTTTTCTAGTAGTTAAAATTTTAAACTATAGAATGTAGGAGACAAGGTTATAGACAATATTCAAGTGTTCGATGAATTAATATTTAATAATTTGATCATTTCTCTGGCAGCTGTGTAGTCTCGCTAAAACTAAGAGACGTTCATAGATGTTCATCTATTATACAAATAATATGACTTTAATTTAATAACTTGTTCATTTCTCTGTCAGTACATGAAGTAGAGTTCAGTTGAAAACAAGAGCCGTTCAGAGATCTTTTAGGATCCACACATGGAAATATAAATCCACATATGGAAATATAAAGTCACATATGAAAATATACAGAATCATGTACCAAGCACTGTTTCGTGGTTACATTCCTGTTTTTCTTTTCATTTTTTAACAAGTGCGGTCTTATCGTGATACGAGTCCATAAACCGTATAATACTACACATTGTTCAGGGTACAACCGAAGAAACAGATGAAGACGAAAGCAGGCTTCATAGACTTTTAAAGTAGTATTCTGTAAAAATGCTAACTTTTTAAATCAAAAACTAATATATTTCACATTGAGTTATATTACATATAAAAGTATAAAATCAATAATAATGACTGTAAAAAACATTTCAGCAAATGTTAAAAATGTAATTATTCTTTTTAAAACTGATATTAATATATTTCAGTTTTATTAATCTACTTAAACATTTATAAAAATGAAATTACGAAGCTATGTCCATATCTCTTTGTCTATATATAAAATATTGCTTAAGGAATCCTCTGTTCTGACGTTCCTCAAAGGGGTCATTTGTTCATAAAAAATGTAAGGTGTTAACATACAATGTGTTTCGGTAATTTTCACAGCTACTCAGTTACATGCATTTTAATGTCCTTTTCATGTTAATTTGTTAAAATAACATATGTTTAAAATCCCCTGAGTAAATGGTCGTACTGCAAATTCAACACAAATCCTTAAGTCCAGTGACACTGAGTCGACAAATTTTATTTTATTACGAAATTAAACCAAATATCCGACACCACTGAGAGAGATTTAAAAAATATTATTTTTTTAAATAAATTTTTACATATTTCTGAATTAGGGAAACATTATTTCACTTTTAAAATAATAAAAAATATAAACTATCCAATGGATATTTTGTTTTATTAAATCAATGCATAACTATAAAGCACTTTACTGGATAAAATAATCTATAGCATTATAGTAAAGATGTACATAAATTCATAAATCTTTTGAAGTCAATTTTTTTTGTTATTAATTGATAACTGATATGTTATGATAGGTCAAAAAAAAACCTCTTTTTGTTGTGATTGGCAACCAACGGAAATAAATTTTTGAAAATACACCTCTTCGATAAATATAGCTGATACCTACTAGCTTAGAGGAAGTTAATATCATTTTTATATACATATGGATGCGTGCAGTTATCAAAAATCTTTACGTTAAACTTACGAATATATGGATCTCATCAATTGGCCGTTCAATTGGTGTAAGTGTTATCTACTCAACATTTAATAGGTGTGCGTCTAGCTTATATACTGCGATCGAGCGCACTACTTTCAGCTGCACTAAGCAACGTTTCTAACTGGTATTGCTATAGACCCTGTAGATCATTTAGGAAATTTATACATCAATTCATATTACCGCAAGAACAAAATATGGGTAGTTTTATAATTCGATGGCTTTTGCATGTCCCGCGTATTAATATCAAAACCAACACATCTTCTGTTAACTAGAATCTGTTAGTAAGTAGCTGTAAAATTTTGAACCCTTTCGCGTAGTGACGTTAAATCTAATACTGCTCCTGTTAACTATGTTACAATCTGTCAGTAAATTACTACAAAATTTTAAGCTGACTATAAAACTATAAGTCACTGTAGCTATTAAAATTTTTTGCTGCTGATATTAGTTTGATTTACAGAATAGCAAGTCCATATTCGAAAATATGAGAAACAGTGTTTAAAACATATCCACAATATTATTTCAAAAGATTACTAATCCCTTATGCAATAATGGTATTTAGGATTTCCTTGTATAAACAACTATATAGTTATATTAGAACTTTATAAAATAATGATAGATCTATCATTAGTAGTTCTGAAATATAATTTATTTCAAAAAGAAGACCGCTACTATTTTGAATTTCGCAAGGGAGGCAAATATTTATTTATTAACCTGACAGAAAATTAGAAAATGATAAGAGCAATAAACAATAAAAGAGCAACTCTATTACTAATGTCTATAATTGGTTTTGCTAAGAAACCAAGCAATATACGCAAGGTTTTTGACATAAAACCAGTTGAACCTAGTTGAACTAGCTGTTTCTACTTATTAGAGCGTAATTTTATCTTTCATATATAGCATAAGGCCGATATGTTGGTTTCTGGCTTAGATAAACCTAGTTCGCTAGATATTAAGCCTATCAATCACATCTCATTCCCCTGATTATTGGCGCGAAGTTTCTACATTGCTGTAGTAATCTTCACCATTCATTCTTAAGAGGAGGATGGGTTCAAAAAAAAAAGTCCGATATAAACTAATATTGTTCTTTGCTCAAACTTTACAATATGTTTTTTTTTATAAAATACTATATTTTTATTTTATTATTTTATTGGTATTTATTGAAGTTCTTGAATCTAATTCTTCTCACCTTCTTTCCGGTTATTAGCTTATATTGTTTTGCTATATATTTAAAAATATATACATATTTTTTTTATTTTGAAATGTTTACCTTAGATGAAACATCAACTTAATAATAATTTCATTTGTTTTTTATGTGTGACAAATTTTTTTTATTATTCTTAAAAATGTTTATATATATCAAAATATTTAAAAAAGGATAAGAGTAGGCATTTATGTTATACTTTTCATGTCAACAACATTTTTATAATGACCATATAAATGTCTAAATATATTAATCTGTTCTCCTATTTTTCTTACAATCTTCTTGTTGAATTTAGACTTTTGATATTAGCAGTCGCATGACCTTAAAATGATTCATTGATATGATGAAGTCAGACCAAAATATTTTGGCACCATATTAAACAAATATTATTTTTTATCTTTACTTTTTATTATGTTCCGCGAATTATATTGAAAACGCATTATGACGAATAATAGAACAGGAAATAGTAAAGCCAAGCCCTTATGTATATCAGTTGCTTCGTATCACTTTTGTTAAGATATTGTTATTTTTAAGATAATTATTTTCTAACTACACTCAGAAAAATATGCTCTAACCACATACTAGTTAAATTGTCCGGATCATTTTGTTAAAAAAATTTTAGATCTTGTGGCAAAGAAGATATGAAAACCAACATGTGGTGTGGTTGAACCCACATGATGCGTCGAGTAAGAATATTTTGACCTGAGATTCAGTTAAAATCTGGATAAAACAACGAAATTATTTTTCTGAGTGTAGATACTTAAATTATTTTAATGTAATTTACATACTTATAATTTTTAAGAAACTTGTTGAGTTGGAAATGAAAAAAATTTGTTAGAATCGCATACAATAAATTATTATTAAAATTTGTCTAAATATGCTTCTTTATGCCAATCTGACACTGTAAAAGAAGTAGGTCATTTTGTCAGACTCAATCAGTAGAATCTGATTACGTACATCAAATCTAGCTGCTTTCTAACTATGTATATTTCACAATTTGCTCAAAGTAGTTTAACAAATTTATTAAGTAACCTAACTACACCATCAGCCGACAACGTACTCAAAGTAGGCCATAAATATTCACTGTCAGTGAAGTACAGAAATTCGACCAACTCTATGATTTGTCAGCATAAGCCCCGAATATGCCAGGATAAAATTGGAGACTCCGCGTTTTTCGTTGCTTTGTTTTAAGCAACTAAAATTATGCTACATGCTTGGCATTATTCAAGATATATTTGATTTATGATTTCATTGCAGTGCAGACGTTACCGCACATAAGCAAATGGCTGATTTGCCAAAATAGTTGAGTTGCTGAATAATCCTTAGTGACAGTTGCCATCACCGTTGTCCTGGTTCTACTGTACAAACGATAGCATACACTTTCCGCCAAAAATGCACTTAGATATTTTAGTATATATCACTATACATATATACGAATACACACATAAATGAAAGGCAAAGACAAACAGTGGTTGTTGGTCTTTGCGAGTCCAGCCAATTCCATTTTTAATTTCAAAGCAAAACTCGGTACTCAAGTTATGATGAAGTGGTTTTCTGTTTTAGTCGTAGGATGTGTGTCGTATGTTTGCAGCTGCCAGAATAATTTTCAATTTTAATGGCTGAAATATTGCCAAAATGTTTATATTTGCGCACATATTTGTATAGCTTTTACCGATTTTTTGTTCTATTGTGTCTGCGAAAATTTTTACCTAAGCCTCTTTTTCTTGAATATTTAATCTCCATGTGAGTCGCGTCAATCCTTTCAAAATCGTAATTAAATTTGAACCAGATTTTCCATTTTGCTGGTTTTGTCAGTTTATTTGTGCATTTGCACTCTTATGTCAATGTTTACATTTTTGGTAGATTTATGCTGCACATTTTTAGCTATGCTGGAAAAGGCAATATAAATTCATTGTTGACATTTCTGCATATGCAAATGCATTCAAATTATTAGGATAGCACGAGTATATATATGTTTGGCTTATAAAATATAGCAATAAGCGAAATTTTCATTTCTAAGCATTTACAATTTTTATAAAAGCAAGTTACAGAAAAATTTTATATAAGTTCATGAAAGCAAAAATTAAACTCAAAGGAATTTAATCTATCTTTTTTATATACTTGTATTTCTAAAAAATGATGTTACAGATCAACATACCCAATAGGATGTCTAATGATCAGTCGTAATTCACAAACATATACGAAATAAAGATATGATATAATTTTGCAATAAGTAAAATTTTTATTTTTGTGGATATACAACTGTTATCTAAAAATCCGACAGATAAATTTGTTATTAGAGCGAATATTAAATTCAAAGAAATTTAAACTATCTTTTATACTTGTATTTCTCAAAAACGATTCCCAACCTATTCCCAATATGTAATGATTCAGATAGGACGCCTAATGGCCAGTTTTAATTTATAAAAATATACCACATAAATATATGATATGATTTTGCAATAAACGAAATTTCAAAAATGTTATTAAAAAAAATTTTATATGTATTTCTAGTTGAGCCTTTTCCGATTTAGTGCATCTGGGCACTTTTATTCTCTGATAGCTGGGGGGTTTCTGCAGAGGCCCATCCATCTCACTGACTAATTTGTGTATTCCTCATAAGCTTCGTGATTATTCAATGACTGGTCTAAGATCTGCGTACCGCTCCGTGCGGTTAGTGATTACATTGATATTTGGTAGTGCTAAGTAGGGCAGCCTGTCGGTTTTCGCATATAGTTTCAGGACTCTGTCCCTTGTGTATTTTTTGATCGGATCAATTATAAGGTCTCTTAGCATGTCGTTCGTGCGGATGTACCATGCCACTTTGAAGATTCTTCGGATATCCAGACTATGAGCAACTTGTAGCTTCTGGATAGTAGAGTCGGCGATAGTAGAGTTGTTGAAAAAAACATAAAGTAGTTGGTATCAGATAGATATTACAGGCAAAGTGTGGGTGCATGAAAGATGAAAAGTTATCTTGTAAAAAATGTTCATAAATTAATGAGTACTATCCAGGATATTTCGTAAGAGCGTACTTTAACTTCCGGAGGTAATTCTTCGATCCAAGGAATAAAAAAAAATTGTATTAGAGTGTTTCCATTTTTAATATCGACTGAGATACAGAGTTTCTTTTGAAAGTAAATATTTAAAATATTAGATTTATTTCACCAACCTTTTATGTCTACATATCTTTACTAAATAAATACTTTTATGTATATATTTATTTTTGAATACTTTATAAGTTTGTAATATAATAAGTTTGTAATATATATTTTATTCAAGCGTAATATAAATAAAACTAAAAATATTGTATTGAATAAAAGTATAATCAATTCAAATTTATATTTTCTAAAACCAAACCTATGTGCATATATTGTACATCATGCCGTATGAGTGACAATCTGTTTACAGTAATAAACTACTGAAAAAATGGCGTTATGTGTGTTTTTACGTAAATAATTAACAGATTTTGAATAAAAATATTTAGTTTAATTTTATTAAAGTTTTAAATTTATTGTAATATCCACTCATTGCTAAGAACAGCCACATTTTCATTACACGGTATATCTTCACTTAGTCCTTAAATATTGATAAACAATTTATTATTAATTTCTAAGTATTAAATATAGCTGAATAAGTAAGGGTCAAATAAGTTTATTATGTACAATGAAAGTTGCAAACATTAAATAATAAAGTTTGTAAAATTTAAAACTTATTAATAATGTATGCCTTTAAATGTCGCGCATATTGTTTACTCCGTTGATTTTAAATAACAATTTCACAGAATAAGAATAAATTAGTTTTACTACATTCAAGTCCGAACTTAATTTAAATATTTTAAAAAAAGTCAAATTGTTATAATCATTAACAGCAGCATTAACATTATAATCATTAATGTTGGTAACAGAATGATAACAATAAAGATTAAGCGTATTTTGTACATTCTGCAAAAAGAAATACAAATACTTCATCAGTGAAATGTTTCTTTAGGATTTTTATTAAAAAATGAATAATATTTTTTAAAGTATTTTAAAGAACCTCTGCGAGTCGTTTGATAACAAAAGAGGTTTCAGAATTTCATACGAATGGAAAAAAGTACTCGGACTAGAAAGGTGTTTGATTCTGTACCCGTAGGAGGATAACGCGGTAGAGCATGTCCGTGTCTTCGGTGGAAGGATTCAGTGACCAACGACTTGGGGACGCTCGGTAGTACCAACTGGTGGTAGAAAGCCACTGATCGGGGTGGCTGGTGCAGGCTACTCGACACGGACAAAGAGAACTCACATCTGTAATGGCCAACTAAGTAAGTAAGCAATTTATATATTTAATAAGATAAGACTGTTGTAAGAACAACATAAAAGCCGACTAGCTTCTCTTGACCGCGGTATAATGATGAGGTAAAAAGAAAATTTTATTTTTTAATAGAGTAAGGTTTGTGACTTTGAAAAGAATAAGAATTAATTAAAACACACACAGCACAAAAAAGTGAAACCACGTATTTATAACTCAACTATGAAGAAAAAATATATGTTCGGTAAAACATATCAATTCATATCTAACACATTTATATGGAATATAATATAAATAAAATAATATATATTATAAATATAAAGAGTTTTTTCGAACAGTAGTGAACTACAACAACAAAAATTTATTTTATATTATTTCAATTAATCAAATTTTTGGCTGACCATACAGCTGCTTCGAGTATTGGCAAATACCCATCATCAGTGGTCTTGAAAATAATTCTTTTAATTAATTATTCATAAATAATTTTTTGAGACTGCAAGTACCAGAAATCGAACACGGGTCTTGCCAAATTTGATATATGTTTATATTAAATATATTTATCTTAACACAAATATCAATTTTTATCATAATTATCATAACAGAAGAGTAACAAGAAGAGCACTTTTCTTTACATACATAACATTTTTACATATTTTTTTTTCTTTGAAATTAATACAAACGTTAAGAAACATTATTATCCTTTATATTGTATATAAATTCGATATCACTTACAACAGTGATGTATAATGTTATTTCAATCTTCGTTCACTCACCTTTGCCGGCGCCAATTGTCAAGCGAATCGAGCTTCCTTTGCCTGAAAGCTGCTTGTCTTTGCATACCAATCGAAGAACGACGAAAACGTCGTATTAATAATGTGTTACCACCCCCACCCCCACCTGCTCCAATGCCATTTGAGCTACCGGCATTTGAATTGCCTGTCAATTGCGTGTCTGAGTCAGTGCCATCATTTGATGTTGTTTGCTCATCCGATTCCCGTTCCTCTTTAACGGCCAGTAACAATTGCTCGACAGACATGCTGTCACTACTGTGACTATGACTGTCGCTGGTATCAACTTCACAGTCACAATTCAAGTATGAAATAAACATTGAAAAGCGTTTTTCACTGCCGTATTGATAATTGGAATTTTTTTTTAATTTATTTAAAAATTTTTTATTTTTTTGTTATTTTTAATTTTTAGTTAATTTTTAATATCGAATTTTAAATACATTTTGATTTTAATTCATATTTAATTGCGTTTGGCTTACATTATAACAATGCGAGTATTTTTATTTTCCATATTTTGTGTTTGAAGTTTATCTTTGTTTTGTATCTTCCGAAACATTGTCATTTTATTGAATAAAATTATTAGATAAACACAACAAGGAAAAGCAACAAAAAAAAAGTGAAATAAAAAAAAAACAATTAAAATCTTATCAGTGAATTTATTTAGGTTTTAACGTAGCAAATGTTATGAGCATTTGCATCTCTAAAACGCACACCTAACGCCTCTAATAAATTTTTCTCGATAGAATTACACATATTTTCATTAGTAATTACACAAACGCACACAAACACATACGACGCTTTTTTTTTGCTGTAGCATTTGTTTTTTCAAAATTGTTTACTATTTTGTAACGTATTTTGTGGCACAAGCATTGTTGTATTTGTAAATTACACAGGGTAAATGAGAGTAATCATTCCATATTGTTTTTTCCGTGCTTTAAACGGTTACACACATACATATATAAATTTTTGTAATAATTATTTGCTTTAGCTTGGGTAATGCACGGTTTTGTTGATGTAGGCGGTATGTGAGTGTAGCTAAAATGTTTATGTGTTTGTGTAAATTAGTTACACAGCGCGCACTTGCATAAATAATTTCGCTTTGATTACCTTTTGTCAAAGTTTTGCCCTTGAGCTTTATATCAGTGTTTGCCTATCTAGTGTTCGCTTATTTAGTGTTTGCTTATTTAGTGTTCGCTTGTTTCAATTAAAATTCATTAAAATTGAATTATATTTATATGAAAACCGAATTTTAATAAAAGAAAAAAGATATGATTATAAATTAAAAACTCAGTTAAAAGGCTTAGAGTATGAAGTTATTCAATCTGTACATATCCTACCAACATTTAACTAAAGTGTTACCTCAACACCGACGCATACGTTTAGTGTTTTTTTTTTACCTATATCGTTTAAAAGCATTGAGTTACTGTTTTAAAGTAGCACCGTTGCAACTTTTAATTAAAAACCAACTGAAATCCATTTCTAGCTCCTTCCCAAATTAACAACCGAAAAGCATTTTGTAACAAAATATTTTGAATATATCTGGTTGTAATTTACTACTTCATAATCTAAGCTTATATTGTCATAATTTTTTATTAAAATTATTTCGTTTCTTTTATTAAAGAAATAACAACAGAGCGGCAATTACAAATAAATTATCGTATGACTCGTTTATGATTCAGTTTAATTCAGGTAATCATAATGCAAACAATATCTTATTCTTAAATGTGAAACACCTTTTCAAGAAAGTTTAATGTAAATCTCAGGGTTGACGTTTTTATATATAAAGACCAAAAAACTTTAAAGGGGTTATAACCTTGCTGATAATCTTACAAATTGTATAAATTTTGATAAAGAAAACCAATCTTTATTTACATAAATTAGACATATTCGATTATTATAACGTTTAATGAACTTTAAGATATATGAAAAAATTGCCATCTGGACACAGATTTATTTATTACATATCTGATATGGTAAAAAAGTAATTTATAAACATTTTTATATTTTTAACTTAATTCAAAAATAGCACAGAATTTGATAGAAGTATTATTGTGAATAAGAAACGTGATTATTGTACAGAGACATGATAACAAATGATTTTATTGGGTTCTAATTTTTGTGGTCACCTAGAAAAACTCGGCAAATTTTTTTACAAAAAAAAATATACCTTAAATAATAATGATATCTCATTGTAGGCATAGTTCTTCATATATTTTAACTGTCATTTCCGCTTGTGAGGCATAAGACTGTAGCGATTTACATAAATTTTACTATATTGATTACTTCTCCACATATATAATTTCGTAAGTAATGTATTCTGGTTAAAGATCAGTAAATATATCCCAAAAAACAGCAAAAAATTAAATTATTTTGTAGCATTTGATTGAAACGTTATAACCAATGATTTTAATGAATTCTAGATTTAAGGTTGAGCTAGAAAAACTTGTACAATTCAAAAAAAAAAAAATATACTTGAAATTAATTATATCTTATTTTTGTGACATTCATTTCACCACAAATGACAATCATTTTGTAAGACAACCTTCGGTTAATAAGTTATTAAAAAGAATTTTTATTAGGGAAGGAGGTGTGGTGAACTCATACTTTGACCTAATTTTACAAAATCAAATTTGGCACTTTCAATTAGTGCATTTAATTGACCACTGTTTCTCCTCCATTGGCCACCAATAACTTTGATTGACAGCACTCAGTTAAAAAGTTATTTCAAAACTTGAGGTCCAAAGTGTCAACTTCATGGTTACTTCTCTAATAAAAAACAGAGCACAGTAAAAAAAAAAAATAGGCCAGTAAATGACATAATCGTGTTAGGTATATAAACTAACGTAACCTAATCTTTATTTAGAGCACTAAACATATCATTATCAATAACTTTACTTTGAAAAATATAAGTTGCCAAACGATTCTAATTACGTTTATAGAAAATTAGTTGTGCAAAACTGTATCGAGTTAATTAAAACAGTTTATTGACTATGTTGTCTCAAAATGTGTGTATTTTTGGGCTATGTTTTAATAAACGGTGTAGTCCAATTGGAATTATGCATAAGAGGTGGCAGCGTAGGACTTAGTTCTAATGGTCAACGCTGACGTCTACAGATTTTAATAAAGTTTAGATGTTAGATGGTTAGTGAGTCCACCTACACATATGCTTCGGGTTTATACATATCGCAGAATTTCTCAGACAAACTAACTAAAATCAATATGTTGTCAGTGAACTAAGATATTAAGTGCGCACACAGAATTGAGTGAAGGTGCTCTGATTAATGTCGATATTCACATTAAAAATACACGCATAGGTAATATCTTTAGTATAGGTATACCCCAAGATGTATTCAATATATGGTGAATCTTATGTTTTGGTTGCTTTCAAATTAATTAAGATAGAAAGTGCCAAATTCATATTCAACAGTATGTAATACAGTTTAAATCTTGAAAATAGACTGTGGTGGACACAGTCGCTGCCTAAAAGGAAATTTTCAAATCAACTTGTAATGAACAAATCAGTTTAGTCCTTTCTACTTACAGTATTTTCAGTCTTGAACATTTTATTCTAAAAATATTAATCAAGCGAAGAGTTGACCACTTCACTCACTGTTTATTTTCGATGCGTAATTAAGTAATATATCATTTAACGGTAGAAACTATTTTATCCAAAAAGAAAGAAATATTTATTAAGATATTTATTTTTGTTAAGAGATAATTGGTTATATTACCCTATAAGACCGTATGGTAATTAAGAAGTGAAATTAAGCAAAAAAGATGCTGATTAAAATCTGCAGTTCCGATTATTACAATTGATATACTAACTTATAGTTAGTTTGTTTAACCATAAAACAGAAACTATGGTGCTTAAATATTTTTCCAATATTTATTCAACAATTGTTTATCGAAAAATTTAAAATCAAAATAAACAACATATAAAAGTAATTTTTTCTTTCAGAGTTGTAAAAAAAACAGCTTTAACTGTGTTTGAAACAAATTGGTATCACTTTTAAAATATGTTAAATGCTTTTTTTTGATTTTTTGTTATGTTGTGTACAATATGAAATATAAATATTTGTAAACATTAGAAATTAATTAATTTATATAAAAAAAAACAAAATTAATATTGGAAAGGCACTGGTTAGCATTTTTATCTTATATATTTCAACTAATTAATTTATTTATATATTTGAATTTATTAGTAAATGAAATGATAAATGAAGCTTTGTATTTATAAAACCATACCGACCAATATGGTTTTAACGGATGACTGGAATTTTGTAATATATTTCCAGTGAACATTTACACTAGGCTGATTTTTTAATTTGGTTGCACTAAAATTTAAGATGTAAACATTTTTGCGAGTAAAACCTAACTCTGAAGATTTTAAGAGCATTGTTGTGTTGTTGCTTCATATATTTACTTTCGTAAGTTGCGAGTATTTTTTTCTACTCTAATAGAAAAAATTACGGCTAATAATTAAAAAAAATAAAAACATAGTCTATGGATAGACAATATAAATGACAAAGTTGACAAAAAAATTAGCAATCATTCGATAGACCGTCAAATATTTTGTAATAAATAATGCGTGAATTTTTTTTTTCATTTAAAAACAAAAAAAATATTCATGAATAAGTAAAATATTTTCATTCAAATAAAAATTAAGAGAAAAAAATATTGAAAACAAACAGAAAATTTATGCTATTTTATGGTGAATGAATCTTTTTTTTTGTGTATTTTGTTTCAATAAAGTGAATTTCAAATTGGAAATTTAAAATAAATGACAGCCTTAAAAACGTTTACAAAAACGTCAAATAGATGATTTTTTGTTTGCTGTTTATTTGTTGTTTATTGGTTTTTGTTAAAAAGAAGGAAATCAATCGTTGTTTTCATATCTGTTTTTTTTTTTGTTTTGTTTGAGGATTGTCGATACACCATGTGCGTCACATTTTGTATCTGCAGGTTACGTATTCGTAACAAAAAACAGTAGACATCATCTGCTATCTTTTCTAACTACAAACTGACAACTGAAAACTGACAGTTTAACAGGCAGGCAGACAGACAGACGCATAAAAACACGCATAAGTAGATGACGTCACTTATGCCATACGTACTTCTAGAACCACGAAAAGAAAAGGTGGCAATGACACTTCTGTCAATCAGTGAAAAAATTAAAATTTATTTTTTTTTTGTTATTTTTGTTTTTATCTTTTTTTTCCATGTGCCATGAAGTACCTTTTGTGTTAAAAAGCTTGAGACGCTTTAATGTTTTCCTTATTTAATATTGTCCTATAAAAACAATTTATGGTATATATTACAACTGATATTATACATACATATATATATTTCAATACCATATATATATATT